TATAGTCCTCCCAATTAGATTCAACTGAGTACCTTATTTATTCGGTTGTTTAGTTGTTGTCTAGCCTATAAATTATGTTGTTATTTATAAAGATTACTGTTAAAAAANNNNTGAAAGTCATAAATAGAAATATATCACGGTAAAAAGCTAATTTGACGGAATTATTGATTATTTTTATCCAAAATGATAGAAACTTTATAAAAAACACACAAAGTTACATCTAGATAACAACCAAACGTTTGAATGAAGCAACTATAGAGCTGAATCTAGCAGCAGGACAAACCCAGAGGTCGTCTAGAACCAACACTATAGCAACACTGAACAACACCCACCAACACAAACTAAAGCTCCCACAAGTGGAGAAACACACACTCTCAACACGAGAAAAACACAAAAAACTAAAAGACACAAACAAACTACAAAATAAACTAAGGTCCACCCCGCCAGTCGAAGGCACTCCAGACTAGCAACACTTGAGTAAAAACCCAAATAGCCACCCCAGAACAGAAACCAGTCAACGACCAGAAGAAATCGGCAAATGGAATTATTGATTCACTTGACTCTTTTATTCTTCTCCGGTCGAGGAAAATAGTTAACAATTTATGAAATTTTAATTATTGTCTACTAAATTGAATTTATCTAAAAAATGTATATTTACGCTGGATGTCACTAAAATTATTACACTAACTTGCCAAAATCATACAAAGGCTTATAAATTATAAAATTAAAATTAATATAACAGTACTAAAATTAATCCCGTAGTTATGAATTTATTAAATTTTAGATATTCTTTATATTTAGATTTCACCTAGACCTTACCTATCATTTTGGTTTTATTAACTATTTACCAAATAAATGTCGTTTTGGATCTTCTGTACATATTTTTCCATTATTACCCTCAGTCAGCTAATAAATACACTACGTCTTTTCATATTCACTCTTCATTTTTTCCCAAAACATCATTCTCTATCTTCATTAAAGAGGGTTATTATTGACAAAAAAAAATATTCTTAGTCACTATGCAACTTTTTAAAACGACATTTATTATAAATAGAAGGGAGTATTTTGCATCAAATTCACCATCACTAGCACCATCTAAAATAATCAATTTTATCATTTCACCTATATAAGGACACCCTTATTTACAGTTTTACCTTATCAAATTGACTTTTTAAATTAATTAAATCATAATAAGATAAAATAAAGAGAAAAATAAATGATACTCCCTTTGAAAAAATAAAACTGAAAATTTTAAAATAAGTTAAAAATTAAAATGTTAAAGTAAGTCAAACCATACAAGCGTAAGGCTTATGGTATGTTCTCCCTCTGTTTCTTTTTAGATGTCGTTGTAGGATGTCAATTTTTTTGCAAATTATTTGTCGTTGAATATATTATATTCATTTTTACAATTTTATTCTCTTTAACAAACTTTATCTCTTATCATTATCTTTAAAAACCACCCATTAATAATTTAAAAACTAAATTTAATAAGATTTGAATATAAGATTATTACACAACCCCAGGGACGGATCCAGAAAAAATATTTAGGGGGGACTAGACTGTTATTCAATCATAAACGATTTCAAGAATATAACTTGGTTTGGTTTTTTAAGTTTGGAACCGAAGTTACTTAAACGAAACGAGTTTGAACAATTAATCAAGTTTATAGTTATGTTCGCAAACAACTTGATTAGGATTTATGAATAAGTTTTGGATTTATTAAAACAATTTGAGTGGATGAGCCGAGTTTTATCTCATATTTTTATTTATTAAGTAAACGAGACAAACACAATTTTAAATATAGAGTACTGAACTGATCTCAATTCGAATGACATTTCGAGGGGATTATATAATATTTAATAGCATAAAAATACACTAAGTACGTATAGATATAAGAAGTAAAGTTCACTTAAAAAAGATAAAGTAAATAATAAAGTTGCACTAAGTTTGGTAATATAAAAGTTGTGTTCTACATTCTTTCAACTCAAAAAATTCACTAAAAAATTAACTCGGTATTAAAATTTCTTGCAATTTTCCATTCAAGCTCATGAAATTGCAAAACACGCATACTCTCCTATTTCAAATAGCGAATTCTCAAGTATTTATATTCTCACATTCGAATTATTGAAACCTTAAATTACTAAAAAAATAAAAACAACAAATATTATATTATGAATATAGTATCTAAAACAAATATGATGTAGTTTTAAAATAATAAATAGATTCAATAATGCAATCATAAAGTAATAAGTAATGTATTTATGTGGTATAATTATAGATATATATACTAAAACTTAAAATGGTTGGGGTGACAATGGCCCCCCTTAGTGGATATGTAAATCCGCCATTACACAACCCATTAAATTCGTAATTTAGAAGTTTTAAATTAAAACGACACTAAAAAAAACAGATGGAGTATGATATATCAGTAATTCAGTATATCCCATGCCATGAAAGCAGTTATTGTGCAGTTTTTTTACTTAAAATAAATTATATTTTATGTAATTAGTTACTTCAACTTTGACATACTTGAAGAGGTGAAGTGAACTAAAAACGCGTTTTTAGGAGCCCCCATGCTGCCATGCATGACAGGAAAGCACTAGCTGTTTTATAAAATACCATTTTAACTGTTTCATGGCGCGTGTTTTCAGTTATCGGTTTTGATTTGCGGGACATTAAGTCATGGTGACGCGATATTAATCTTTTTATATGAAAACGTCTGTGTTTAATAATATTTTGAATTTTTATTTTTACTACAAGTTGCAATTGGATATTCGATTCAGTTCAATTCATTTATTTATTTTAATTTTTTTTATGAAAAAAAAGAACAATTGGATGCCATGTGATAGAAGAGTGGTAAAATAGTAATGAATAATTATAAATATGTAAATAGATAAATGGTAAGTTTATAGATATAAAATGATTGAATTTCAACTTTAAAATTATATTAAAATTAAAAACGTGGATCGAGTAAAGAAAATAATGCGAGATAAATGATATATATATGTGACTATATGTACACACATCCGATTGCACTATTATTATTATTATTATTAAAAAACTCATCAAACCAAATTTATTTTTAAAAAAAATTATAAACTAACTAAATAAGTTATAAGTTAGTTTATGATAATTATCAAACATATCATTACGATATATAGGTATATTTTATGGCATTAGGTTAGGACTTTTAAAATTATACGTGTGCAACTTTACAAATTATTGAAGTGCAGTTTTTTTTTTTTTAAAAAAAAAATGAAATTTTGGAAAAAAAAAAACTTGTATGTGTAACTTTTATATGATATTTAATAAGGTTAAATTAGTCAAGCATAATTAATACAACAATATATATTATATGAGCAAATCTTCTTATTAAACTAGTGTATATATGTTTTGTGAGGTATATTCTCTCATAGGCCACAAGGCAGAAGCATATATAATCCAATAATCCATTGCAAAACCGTGGAAACATCTGATGAATGATAGAATTCAATGCATCTCTTTCTAACTTGCATTAATTTGTACTTTATACTTGAATATTCGGATAAACCAATCATTATAATTTTATAATCTGATGACTAATTAATACCCGGTCCAAGATAATATTTTATTTTATTTTTCTTCTTGCACCTTAAATCCATATGATTAAAATATAAGGTAGTCCATGTGATAGGACAAATGCCCTTCTCCAAGAGAGGGTTAAAGTTTATTTGGCCTTTATGATTGCAATTATCATAATTTTTTGTTATTTTATTTTTGTAGCAGTTCTTTTTTATTGGGTAACTTGTGGCATAAGTATAACAAACAACATAACTTTTTATTGGGGTGAATCTTAACAGTTTTGCTATGCAGTCATCGGATGGCTCCGTTTATGGAGCCATTTACACTTATTCACCAATAGTGTATTGACACATGTCCTGCAATAAATACACTTTGGACATGTATCAATACATTAAGTGGTGGATGACTTCATAAGAAAACCATCCGATGGCTCCATAGAATTTTTCTGAATCTTGATTTGGGGCCTTTGTTTCATGTTATTTTCCACATGTCCAAAGACCTGACCCTTTTCTATGTGTGAGGCAGTAAACAAGCAAGATGAACAAGTGATTTTACTCAAGTTTGGGTCATAATTTTACTGAGCTGAACCAAGTCAAGTCGACTTTAATTTGTTAACTAGTCGAGCTAGTACACGAGCTTGAGCAGAAACCATTTATCAAAAGTTAACGAGTCGGTTTCGAGGCAAAACAAGCGAGTTGAACCAGTGATCTCAATACTTAAGCTCGGGGTCGAACTTTTATCGAGCTGAACAAAATTTGTTTAACATCTATTGTATCAAATGAGTTAAGTTGCAGTTGAACGAGAGTTTTGGAAAATTCTAAAAATTCATAATCAATATTTCATTTGCATAAACAAGAACCAATGATTAATTCAAACCATCTAATAAAATCAAACCTCAATAAAACTTCATCCAATTAAAATCCATACATCTTAATTCTTGTTCTGTTATACATGTAGAATGATAATTACATAAAAATTACACTATTCAATCTCAAAAAATAAATAAATAAATAAATGGCATCACAAATAATCTACTCATTCAAAAAATAGACTTCAGTACATTACCATGAAGTGAGAGTAGTCATTGTCATGTTGATTATGTGAATAAAAATCAGTTTAATTATCATTATCACTTTCTTTATACCACTATTTAAAAACTAAAACCACTTGCTGGCAAATATCTGTAAGCCATGTAAGCAAAAAAATATAACTACCATGACAAAAAGTGACCTTCCTCTTTTTTCCGAAATTCCACTTTTGCCCCTCCACAAACTAACAAAATACTATAAATATCCCCAAAACCCCCTTCGTCTTCAACAATTCACTCACAACAGTTCATCCTCTGCAAATCCACAAAGAAAAAAGAAAAAAAAAACAGCAAAAATAGATAATCTGTAAAAACAGAACACACGCTTAACACTCACAGACACACACTAACTATGGAAAAAATCCCACAAAATCAAAGCGCAAGGAAAAAATACAAGGGCGTGAGAATGAGAAGCTGGGGTTCATGGGTGTCCGAAATCCGGGCGCCCAATCAGAAGACCCGAATATGGCTCGGCTCGTACTCCACGGCGGAGGCCGCCGCCAGAGCCTACGACGCCGCCCTCCTCTGTCTGAAGGGCCCGTCGGCGAATCTCAACTTCCCGATTTCAAAATTTCGGCCCCCAAACCCCTGCCACTCGGACATGTCTCCCAAATCGATCCAGAGGGTGGCGGCGGCGGCCGCAGCGGACGCCGGTTTCCTCGACGGTTCGTCGGACTTCTCGAGCGCGTCCCCTTCGCTCTCGTCGACGGATTCGGATTTTCGTTTCGGGGAAGACGATGGGTTCCAATTGGCTGCGGCGGGTGATGATATTGGGGGTAATGAGGACTGCAGGGTACAAGCGATTAATGCGATGGCCTCGTGGTACAACTTTGACTCCCCGAAGTACAACGAGATGATGATGGGCGGCGTGTTTTTCGATCCTAACATGGCGGCGGTGGAGGATAGTTACGAAGAAGGCGATATTCGTCTGTGGAGCTTCTGCTAATTGAATTTACAAATTTATTTATACTATTTCGCTTATTTATTTTTATTTTTACTAAAAATTTATTTTGATGATCTTCAGTTTTATGCCGGGAAGACATTGCTGACGTAAGTAGAAAAGGGTTGAATAATTTGTGAAGGATTTTACAGGGGGGAGACAATTTTTTTGGGCTCTCTCGAGTGATTTCCTGTATTTATTTTATTTTTTATTTTTAAATTAAGTGTAATACATGAGTGATTTTCTGTATTTATTTTTAAATTAAGTGTAATAAATATATGTGGACTGTGTATTAGTTTTGCAATATTGTTTGAAGAATCTTTTTAAGGGATTTTTTTTTTTTAATTGTTTGAAGAATCTTTTTATTGTTTCACTCTTGGAAGTTATATACTATGTTTTATGACATTTAGCTGTGCCAAATTATCTTAAAAATTATAATTTAGAAAGATAATAAAGGTTAAATGCATACTTCAAAGCGATCAAAGCGATGAAATTTCGTGATCTTTTCGTTTATAGTATGATAATTTTGTACCATAAAAATCGGTAGATGTATGAACTTGATGGACTTCGTGATCTTTTCGTTTACAGTATGATAATTTTGTATCATAAAAATTGATAGATATATGAACATTTGTGCTCGGACACTAAAGCAATAAAGACTAGACTAATATGGAAGTTGTTAAAAAAAAAAAAAGTTTTGGAAACCAATTTTTGGGTAGGAACCATCGATTTGAGAGAATTTTGGTTATTTTGAATTAAAATCGACTGAACTAATTAACATTTTTGATTCTAAAACAAGCTGCTCGAAATTAATTCCTACTTTAAATTGACTTCTACATCTCCCTTTTTTGTGATTCAATTTTGAAACCGTTAATTCTTGATAATCTGACAATTCACTAATTTAAAATTTTCAAAGATTCAAATAGTGAACTAGTGCTCAACAAAAACCAGAACAAATGATTTAAAAAAATACAAACAATTCAAAATTGTGGTCCACAATTTTGGTTACGGATCAACAGTTTTGAACGAGCGATTTGCCCATTAAAATTTCCTCCTTGTTCATGTATACTTCAGAGTTACGCGATCAGGTATTTTTGCTTGATATTTTTGGATTCGTATACAATATCTCTATCTTCGAATCAAAATACACATTGTCAAAACAATATTGCCCATGACAAATTTAGTTAAAAAAGAAAAATGTGAATGACCAATGTCGGCTTATATCACATCTTATGGAAGTATTTGCTCCGAACCAATTAGAGAGCTTGTTAGTAAATGTGATCCATTTGTTACTGTGAAGTGTCAAGCTGCACTGTTGGCGGCCCATTTCCACCGGCCCAGATATTGGCCCTACATTTTGAGCCCAAAAAACGATCTATTGCGAGTTGCAACCCATCTTCTCCAAGGGAATGGTATAAAATGAATTCTATTGCAATTTGCGACGCATTCGTCAGACCGATTTTCTCATTTTTAAGTTTTAATTTTTTAACCCATTCACCACGCCAACAATGCTCGTTCATCCTCCCCCAACGGCGCACCGCTCACCGCTGGCGGCAGCCCTGAGCTCTCACCAAACGACTCCAACCTCTCCGCACTGGAGAAACCTAACCGCTCGCCACCGGTGGCTGAAGGACCCCTGCCGAGCTCCGAACAACCACCGGCCGACTCCGACGTCCTTCATGTCCCTCCGCCGCAGCTGAATCCTTCGAGCAAACGAATCGCGCCGCCTCCTCCCGTTGCAGCACGAACCCTAGCCGCGGCTGAGCGAAGGTAAGCGGTTCGAATTTCGCCGTCGCCATTATTTTCCAGCTGCTTAATTTCTCCTCTCTTTGTTCGTTTGTAGTGAAATCAGCAGGAGGCTTCTCTGGAGTATCACGGCTTCACTCACTTTCCTTGCTCTGGTCGGTGTTCAGCTCGCGCGGAATGCTCCCCATGGAGAAATTAACCCGTTGAAGCTTCTGAAAGTGGTAACAAGCACCACAGCATACATCTTCATCCTACTTCTGCTGCCGTTAACACACCAGATTCGGAAAATCGAGCTCGGAGTATTTTCCGGTATCGTGCTCAACTCGATAGTTTTGAATGTGCCGATTGGGTTGGCCCTCTACTCGGAGGATGATGGCTGGGAACTGGTCATGGTCAATCTCATTTTCCTCCACATTATGGCTTTAGTTAATTCAGCTGTGGTCTCTATCAAACTTTTCGACTCGGCTCATATCGTTCTCACGGTTGTCCTGAGCTCATTGCTATTTGTCGCCCACAAGCACGAAAAGTCAGGGACGGCCTTCCGGTTGATAGATGCGTATTACTTCTATTATGCAAAGCCATGGATCAAGTTTCTCCGGGATTTTGTGGCCAAAATGAAGGTGCCTGAGTTTCCTGAGGTTGTGTGGCGGGTCAGGGATGTGGTGGCTGATGTCTCGGGGGACTACTTGCGTAAGGTATCCGTGTGTGTGCGTGTGAGTTTTGATTTTCTCTGGTAAAGTTGCAGTATATATGTGGAAATTTTGGTTTTCTCATGATACATAGAGTAGTTTGTGGGTTCTTTTTGATACTATATATATGGAAGGTTAAGATATGGAGGACTACTTTGCATAAGGTATCCTTGTGTGTGCGACTGCGTTTTGATGTTCTCCGGTAAATTTGCATTATATATGTGAAAATTTTGAGTTTCTCATGATACATGAAGGAGTTTGTAGAATCATTTTGATGCTCTCTATATATATATGGAGGGGTTAACATATGGAGGATTGCTTGCGTAACGTATCCGTGTGTGAGTTTTGGGTTTTTGGGTTTATTTTTTGTGTTCTCTGTTTGTACTTATATATGGAGGGGTTATGGCTTGTGGGGTTTATTTTGACGTTCTCTCTTGACAAAACCATTATGCAGGGGACTTCATGTGTTTACGAGCCATTGCTGAGGTCCAGCGTATGGAAAATCAGTAGCATGGCACAAGAAAAGGGTTCAGGAGGTCAGGCCCCGAGCAAGCAGCTGGCTGGACAGAAGATGTGATGCTGTTTATCTGTTGAGGTCTCACGAGAGTTTTCGGTTTTGGATTGCTTTTGCAGTTGTGTCTTTTGTGAGCTTTCAAGTATTTCCAAATGGGTATAATTCGGGATTTTCTCTGGTTCATAGTTGCTTTTGTTATATTCCAGTAGAATGTAGGAACTTGACTTGGTGAACTCTGGGATTTGCTCCCTGCACTTGTTAATTTTTCTGTATAAAGTAGGAACTTGACTGGCGATTTCAGGGATTTGCTCCGGTTTTCACTTGATGTTTTCAGTACAATGTTGCTGACTTTAACTGCTAATTTCTGGGAATTTCTCTGTTCATATTTAGCTTGTTATTTTCCGGTACAATTAGGAACTTGGCTGGTGATGTTTGCTAAGTGTTTGTTTCAGTGTGCTATTTCTGTGTTTGTTTAAGCATTGCTGGCCATTTTATGCAGAGGTAACTATGACTCTATTAATGTAGCAAAAGGTTTCATCGACATGCATAAAGATTAATGAGATTCCTACTATTCATGTCTGTATTCCAGCGAAAACAGATCCACAGATTTAGTGTTGGAAAAAATATTTTAATATTATTTTTCATAATTAAACAACTATAAGTAGGAAGATAATTACGAAGACGGCGATATTCGTCTGTGGTGCTTCTGCTAATCGGGTTTTCAAATTTATTTATACTGTTTTTGGTTATTTATTTTTATTTTTATTAAAAAATTATTTTGATGATCTTCAGTTTTATGCCTTGGAGACATTGCTGACGTAAGTAGAAAAGGGTTGAATAATTTGTGAAGGATTTTACAGCGGGGAGACAATTTTTTTGAGCTCTCTCGAGTGATTTCCTTTATTTATTTTATTTTTAAATTAAGTGCAATAAATATATGTGGAGTGTTGTGTATTAGTTTTGCAATATTGTATAATTCAATGTCATGTATACCTTAAGGGAAATTTTTGTAATTGTTTGAAGAATCTGTTTATTGTTTCACTCTTGAGGTTATATGCTATGTTTTATGCCATTTAGTCGTGTCAAATTGTCTTGAAAATTACAATTTAGAAAAACAATCTCCATTTATTTATATATTATTTTCGAATGTGCTGAGTCTAAGTGGCAGATTCGTATACTTTGGAATATTATGTGGTAAAATTTTATCCTTAATTATTTGGCTTGGATAGACTTTAATTTAATTCCGATCCAAATATAATTAGGTTCGATTATCTATAAATATGTTGATTATTTATGGCTAGTTTAGATGAATTAATTGTATTTTAACGTCATTTTTTATTACAACTATTAAATTGTAAATGTATTTTAAAAGTTGACAATTTTTGTATTTCTTATCGACATATCAAATTAATCATCTCTTCCTCCTGATGAGCTTCGATTTGACATCCATATTGTATGTATAAAAATAAAGTATATTTATCTTTATAATAATAATAAAATTATATATTAATATTAATTATACAAAATAAAATTATTTATCAATTAATATATATATGTTTAAAGTAGTTATATATATATATGGTACAATTTATAAAATTTATTACAATATAAGTCGCACAAGTAGCAAGTGTTATTGTAAAATATATATTTTTTGTAAAAAGTATTTAAATTTTAAAATACCTTTTTTCACTAATTTTAAAATTTAAAAATATTTTTTATAACAAGCACCCGTGTAATACACATATATTGTATTAGTAGATGTTAAATGCAAACTTCAAATAGACAAAATCTCGTAATCTATAAATATCATACCCACCATATATGGTATGTTAGTTCTATACCATACAAATTGATAGATATATGAACACATGTCATCTTGGACAGGAGCGATAAAAACTGGATTAATGTTGAAGTTGTTAAAAAGAAAATAATTTTTTTTTCTTTTTTTTTTTTTCNCTTAAATGGGTGTGTCCACAACATTTTGGAAAACTAGTTTTTGGGTAGGAACCTTCTTAAATAAAAGTTGACTTAATTAATTGACAGTTTCGATTCTAAAACAAGCTGTTCGGAACTAATTAAGTATTATTTTGAATTGACTCCCCCTCCTCTCTTTGTGATTCAAATTTATAACCGCCAATTCTTAATAATGTTGACAATTCAAAAATTTTAAATTTATATTCGGATAGTGAATTAGTGCTCAACAAAAACCAAAATAAACGATCCAAATAAGATATACACAATCCAAAAGTATGGACCACCCTTTGATTACGAAGCAACAACTTCGAACCAGCGATTTGCCGATTCATTTCTCATTGTTCACGATCATGGTATTTTTGCTTGATATTGTTAGATTCATATACAATACCTATATCTTGGAATCAAAATACTCATTGTCAAAACAATATTCTCAGTCACAAATTTATTTGAAAAAAATGAATAACCAATGTCAGTTATATCACAGCTTATTAATTTATTCGCTCCAAAGTCGAAACCAATTGGAGAGCTAGTTAGTAAATGCGATCCATTTCTTTGTGTCAATTGTCAAGGTATCACTCTTTGCGGCCCATTTTCACCGGCCCAGATATTGGCCCTACAATTTTTAGCCCAGACCTCTTACCACCCATCTTCTCCAAGGGATTTGGTATAGAAATATATTGCGACCCATCGTCAGACCGATTTTCTCTCGAGTGGAAAGAAAAAAAAAAAACTTTTAACCCATTCACAAAGCCAACAATGCTCCGTTCCCCTCCCCCACCGGCGTACCGCCCACCGCCGCCGTCCTCCCCCAGCTCGCACCAAACGACTCCAAACTCTCCGCACTGGATAACCCTAACCGCTCGCCACCGGCGGCTGAAGGACCACTGCCGAGCTCCGAACAACCACAGGCCGACTCCGACGTCCGTCCTGTCCCTCCGCCGCTGCTGAATCCTTGGAGCGAACAAATCCCGCCGCCTCCTCCCGTCGCAGCGCGAACCCTAGCCGCGGCTGACCGAAGGTAAGCGGTTTCGAATTTCGCGGTCGCCTTTATGTTCCAGCTGCTTAATTTCTCCTCTATTTGTTCGTTCGTAGTGAAATCAGCAGGAGGCTGCGCTGGAGTATCACGGCTTCACTCGCTTTCCTTGCTCTGGTTGGCGTTCAGCTCGCGCGGGAATGGGATGCTCCCCATGGAGGAATTAACTCGTTGAAGCTACTGAAAGTGGTAACAAGCTCCTCAGGATACATCTTCCTCCTACTCCTGCTGCCGTTCACACGCCAGATTCAAAAAATCGAGCTCGGAGTATTTGTCGGTATCGTGCTCAACTCCATAGTTTTGACTGTGCCGATTGGGTTGGCCCTCTACTCGGAGGATGGCTGGGAACTGGTCACGGTCAACCTCATTTTCCTCCACATTATGGCTTTAGTTAATTCAGCTGTGGTATCTATCAAACAATTCGACCTGGCTAATATCAGTCTCACAGTTGTCCTGAGCCCGTTGTTTTTTGTTGCCCACAAGCACGAAAAGTTAGGGATGACCTTCCAGTTGATAAATGTGTACTACTTCGTTTATGCAAAGCCATTGGTCGAGTTTATTCGGAATGTTGTGGCCAAAATGAAGGTGCCTGAGTTTCCTGAGGTTGTTTGGCGGGTCAGGGATGTATTGGCTGATGTCTGGGGCAGGATGCCGAACTTTTTCCATGGTGGATGGCGTTTCTCGTGGGACTACTTGCGTAAGGTATCCGTGTGTGTGTGCGTGTGTGAGTTTTGATTTTTTCTGATAAATTTGCGTTATATATGTGAAAATTTTGATTTTCTCATGATACATGGACGAGTTTGGGGATTCAATTTGACCCTATATATATATGGAGGGTTTAACATATGGGGGACTGCTTGTGTAAGGTATCCAATGTGTGTGCGACTGAGTTTTCATGTTCTCCGATAAATTTGCAGTATATTATGTGAAAATTTAGATTTTCTCATGATACATGGAGTTTTTTGAGGATTCATTTTGATGCTCTCTATATATGGAGGGGTTAACCTATGGGGGACTGCTTGCGGTCCATGTGTGTGCGTTTGAGTTTTGATTTTCTCCCATAAATTTGCATTATGTAAGTGAAAGTCTTCTTGTTGTTGTTGTTGTTGTATTGAGGACCGCTTGCGTAACCTAGGGTGCAAACAAGTTGAGCCGAGTCGAGCATTGACCTTATCGAGCAGAATTGTTTTTTTTTTTTTTAGCTCCTCGTGCTCGATTTATGAGGCTCGAGCTCGACCCAAAATCAAAATGCTCGAGCTCGGCTCGAAAATTTTTAAGTGGAACATTGAAATTACCATTAAGCACCTATGCTATACTATTGTAATATATAAGGGGTATTTTAGTAATTCAACATATATCTCGAGCCGCTGGACAATGCAAAATATGGGCTCGAGCCCGACTCAATTTCGGTCAAACTCGTTGACTCGGAGCGCTCGCGAGTCGGTTCGGTTGCAGACCTAGCGTAACCTATCCGTGTGTGTGTGTGCGTGTGAGTTTTGATGTTCTCGGATAAATTTGCATTATATATGTGAAAATTTTGATTTTCTGATGATACATGGAGGAGTTTGGGGAATCATTTTGATGCTCTATAGATATGGAGGGGTTTGGGTTTATTTTTGGTTTTCTCTGTTTGTACTTTTATATGGAGGGGTTTATTTCGATTTTCTCACTTGACAAAACCAATATGCAGGGGAATTCATGTGTTTACGAGCCATTGCACCAGCCCAAGATGTGACTACGCTGTTTAATCTGTAGTGTCTTTTGTAGAGCTTTCAAGTATTTTCAAACAGTATAATATAATTCGGGATTCTCTCTGGTTCGTACTTGCTTTTGTTATTTCCAGTAGAATGTAGGAACTTACTTGACTTGTGAACTCTGGAGTTTTGCTCTCTTGTTAATTTTTGTATAAAGTAGGATCTTGACTGGCGATTTCGGGTATTTGCTCGGGTTTGCACTTGATGTTTTCGGTACAGTGTTGGAACTTTGACTGCTAATTTCATAGGATTTTTTCTGTTCATATTTCGCTTGTTAAATAAGATCAGTAATACAATATGCCAGAAACAAAGTTAATATACATGTATAGGTAGATAAGCACCCAACAATTGTAGATTACTAACATTTCAAATAATAATAATATTAATACAGTAATTAAATATTTATGAGCTCGACATGAAAGATGGCTCAACTATAAATTTAGAAATTGCACTATGAAAATTGAAATGTATTGATTTGAGATAAAGTATAAGATTTTTTTTTTTTTTGTTACACTGTGTTAACCTCTTATTAGAAATTTCTCTATATATTGATTCAGAACGTACTGAGTCTAAGTGTTGGCTCGAATGTTTCGGGATTTTATGTGGCAAAATTACATGCTTCGTTATTAGGTTTGGGTAGATTTTACTTTACTTCCAAGTCTAAATGGCTGACTCGCATGCTTCGGGATCTTATGTGGCAAAATTACATGTTTCATTATTAGGCTTTGGTAGATTTTAATTTATTTCCAATCGAAAAATAATTAGGTCCGGATTATCCATAAATATGTTGATTATTTATGGTCATGTTAAATGTATTTTAATATCATTTCTTATTATAGCTATTGAATATAAATGTATTTTAAAAGTTAATAACTTTTATATTTTTTATCAGTTTTACATCTATAATATATCAAATTAATCATCTCTTGATGAGATTCGAGTTAACATCCATATTGTATGTATAAAAAAATAAATTATATTTATCTTTATTACAATAATAAATTTTTTCAATATCAATTAGAAAAATAAAATTATTTATCAATTAATATATTTATATTTCAAGTAGTTATATGATATAAGTTATAAAAATTATTATAATATAACAAATGTAAGTCGCACAAGTAACAAGTGTCATTTTATAGATAGAAAGATCGAACAGACACACAAACTCTGTTGAGTTGGAATTTTATAAGTACAACTGCCTCGACGAGAGAAATCAAATAGTGGGTCATCCAACTGAAATTGATGTCAGATGACACTAGAATGACTCCACAGATATAAGAACAAACTTGAGCATAATTTATTTTGAATGGAAAATTGAAAAGTATCGACGATGGGTCAATCGACTGTAAATAAACGTTGTACAATGCTAGAATTAGGCTGGACAAAGAATAATTTAAATGATTTATGTTTGTATATAATATTTAAAATCATAACTTAATTAAATATGCATATGCTATGTGTTTAGTCCAAAATTAACAAGCACGATTGGGCTGCATATTATCCCTGGCCCAGATATTGGTCCAATATCTTCAAGCCCAAATATGGTCTGGTGCGACCCATCATTTGCAATGGATTTGATCTATAAATAAAATCGATCACAATCTTTCAGATTCTTTCCTCAGTTTTCTAATTTTCTATCATCCACAGTACTTCAGCTACTTGCAGCAAGCTTCATGGCACCAACAATGCTCCGCTCACCCTCCCCCACTGGCGCACCGGCCAGCGGCGGCGTCCCTGAGATGGCACCGAAAGACTCGAACCTCGGCGTAATGAAGAACCGTAACCGCTCGCCACCGGCGACTGAAGGACCACTGCTAAGCCGCGAACAACCATCGGCCGACTCCAACGACCGGCGTGTACCTCCGCCGCCTATGAATCCCTCGATCAAACGAATCCCGCAGCCTCCTTCTGGCTCAGTACGAACCCTAGCTGCAGCCGAGCGAGGGTAAGTGGTTCGATTAGTTACTCCGTAGTCGAAGAAAACAAACAAACAAATAAATTCAATTTCAAATTTCGCATCGCCTTTATTTTAGTGCTGCGTAATTATTCCTTTGTTGTTCGTTTTTAGTGAAATTAGCAGGAGGCTGCGCTGGAGTATCGGGGCGTCATTGCCTTTCCTTGCTCTGGTGTGTTTTCAGCTCGCGCGGGATGCTGCCCGTGGAGAAATTGGCCCGTCGAAAAGTCGTAATAACCTCATCAGCATACATTTTCATCCTACTCCTGCTGCCGTTTACACATCAAATTCCGAAAATGGAGCTGGGACAATTTGTCGGGTTCTTGCTCGAGGCTTCATTGGACTCTACGGCTGGGTTGTCCTTCTACTTCGAGGATGGCTGGAACCTGGTCATGTTCAATCTGATTTTCGTTCACCTCATGGCTCTGGTCAATTCGGGCGTGGTTTTTGTCAAACATCTCGATCTGGTAAATACATGTCTCCCAGTTGTCTTGAACATGTTGCTATTCGTTGCCCACAAGCACGAAAAGTCAGGGATAGCCTGCAAGTTGATAATTGCATTTTCTATCAAGTATTTTGATGACTGGGTCGAGTTTTTGAGGGATTTTGTGGCCAAGATGAAGCTGCCCGAGTTTCCGGAGTTTGTGTGGCTGGTCAGGGATGCCATGGCTGGTGTGTGGGGCAGGGCATCGAAATTTTTCCTTGGTGGGTGGCTTGCGTCGGGGGACTGCTTGTGTAAGGTATCCGCGTGTGTGTGTGTGTGTGTGTGTGAATTTTGACGTTATCTGATAAATTTGCGGTATATATGTCTGAAATTTTGATTTTCTGTCGATACATGGAAGGGTTTGGGGGTTTAATTTGACCCTCTATATATATAGAGGGTTACATATGGAGGGGTTTTGGGTTTATTTTGGTGTTCTCTGTTTGTAATTCTATGGAGGTCCTTGGGGTTTATTTTGATGTTCTCCTTAACAAAATCGATGAGCAGGGGACATCATTTATTTACGAGCCATTGCTGAGTCCCCACATTTCAAGAATCGGTAGCCGGGCAAAGGGTTCTGGAGGTCAGGCCCCGGGTGAGGCAGCTGGCTTTGTCGTCCGAAGATGTGAAACAATTTAATCTGTTGGTGTCCAATGAGAGTTTTGGATTCGGGGTTGCTTTGTAGTTTTGTCTTTTGGGAGCTTGGTGTTTCAGGATTCTCTCTGGTCTTAGTTGCTTTTGTTATTTCCTGTAGATTGTTGGACCTTGACTAGTGGTTTCTGGGATTTGCTCTGCACTTGTTAATTCTGTAGAAAGAAGGAAGGAAGAAGGAAGTTTACTTTTGATTTCGGGGATTTACTCTGGTTGGCACTTGCTATTTTCAGTATAATGTAGGAACTTTGACTACTAATTTCTGGGATTCTGGGATTTTCTCTGTTCCTAGTTCACTTGTTATTTTTGAGAATTTAGGAACTGCGCTTGTGATATTTGCTTGTGTTTTCGGTATATATAGCCAGTTTGTTTCAATGTGCTGCTCCATTGTCTTTGTTCAAGCATTGCTAGCCATTTCCTGTAGGTGTAACTATGACTCGTAATGCAGCAAATTGTCTCATAACGTAATGGTTGACTGTAATTTGAAACAATATTTGATTTTTATGGGCTTATAACGTATTGGTTGACTGATGTTTGAGTTGGGATAGTTTATTTAGTTGGTGATAAAACAAAAAGGGTGAGGATTTTTGTGTTGAGGAGAAAATTAGCTTTTTTGATGGTGAAGCTTATCTGCTTAAGTTCAGATGCTTGCTTAAGTAAATTGATGTCTTGTTTCAGTGGTAATGTCCAGCTTAGTAACACTTTATATTTCTTTGCTTTGTGGTCAATTCTGTGCTACTGTCGAGGGTTTTGAGCATTTAGTTGCAGCTGATCTGTTTGGTTATTTGTTATATCAGTTTATGTTGTTTGTAGATGAAACTTCTCATGTAGATGTAGCAGGTTACTTTATGTAAAAATGTTTCTGGATTTAGTTACCCAGTCGAACAGTTTATTAAGATGGAAACTTTGAACATCATAATTTACCGTGCAGTTCTGTATATTTTATTATCCTCCACTTCCGAGTGATAGTACATATTGAGATGTATACTTTACTTGGTCTTTTGTGGAGACTACAAATTGTTATTTTGATGGATCTGATCCAGTTAGATGGATTGTGCGCACTCGAGTATTGCAAATTGGTGATTAGTTTTATAAATTTGATTTATTTGGTAATTGGTATTTGATGTGTATGTAATATATTTGCTTATATCTCATCAGGAGCTTCAGATAGTGTTTTTTAAGTAGGGCATCCTGTTGTGTTAACTTTTGAATCTAAGGCACCTGAGGTAATATTAACTCTTTTTTTTTTTCTTTTGNATAATAAAAATTAAAAAAAAAAAAAAACTTTTTGAGCTTCAATTGACCTTGTATTTTTCTTCAGGGAAGCATGTTAATGAAGATGCCCTTGGTTGTGTTGCTCCCTTCACACTTGTGAATGACTCAGTAAGGTATGCCCGTATGTTTTGGTGTGTGTGTGTGCGTGCGTGTCATATATTTGTTGTCATGATTTCTTAAAAGAAAATTTTTGGAGATGCAATTGTATTTTGAAATTTCCTTTGTTCTGCTCCTGTGAAGTCACATTCTTAAATTGTTGGATCAAAGATTTAAGCCTATAAGCATATGGTTTGTTAGACATATTAATTTACACTTGGGGTTTTGACATTGTTTCCTTATTACTATTATTCTACTTAGGTTGCACCAAGCAAGAACCACTAAAAGTATGTCAAAGTCTGTCATCTTCTATGATACTATTGCATGGTCCAGATCAATGGTATTCCAGTATTGGTCAGCAAAGAATGACCGGCACAACTTCATGAATTAGGATTATTAAATTAGTTGCTTATTGTTAGGCCAACACATGAAAAATTAACACACCCCAGAAATAACAGAATAAGCAATGTGATGGTGAACATACAAGTTCAAAACTTATGCTGATAACTTGAATGGTAAAAAATGGGTTTTATTTGATAAGCTTGTGTGTGTTCACATAATCCAATATTAAGTAAAGATGTAATATACAGAAACATTGCCACTTTCGTTATACTAACAAATGGCACATTGTAGTAAACTAAACCATAACAAAGTAAAGGTGAATTGATAATATCTTCTTTGATAATGATATGGAGGCAACCTCGAAATTATAAAAAAACAATTGTACAAAGTTATTTTGATATCATTTACTTGAGCTTTTGTAACAATTGTAGAAAGTTAGTCTTTTTGAAAGACATGCTTTTTTCTGATCTGTCTTGCAAAAAATCTGATTAATGTCATTCACAGAGATTTCACTTTGGTACAGTTTTGGACTTTTATGGCCGACTATCTTCAAGAAACTTTGCCAATGCACACTACACACCTTACAGTAACCTAAACTAAAATAAAATAAAGGTAACATGAGCTGTATCGTCTTTAATATTGATCTGGAGGCAACCTCGAAAATTATGCTGAAACATTCCCGAAAAATTGTCTGTATTTCTCATTGCAATAACCTAAAGAAACGACATATGATACCAAATTTTCTCAGTATTGTCTTGCGAAAAATCTGAATTGTTATCATTAACAAAAGATATCACTTCATGTACTGTTTTGACTTCTATGACTAACAGTATCATTTTATCTCTGAATATATCGTATTTATTAATTATTATAAGTATCTTCTAATATATTGTGTTTTTTTTTTATTTATTCTGAAAGTGTTAGTTTTAACAAGGATCTAAATCTGGTTATCAATTTTAACAGACTTTTAAGAACTTTGGTTACTTCACTCGAAAGTGACAAATGGTCCCATATTATCCCTTCATTATAGTCTTGGGGTACCGAAGTAATTTTTCTCTACAAACTTTGGCAATGTGGGCCCTCCTCCATTACAGTAAGAATGGACGTAAGATCCCGGTATTAAACTCTATATATATCTCCCACAACCCGACAACTTAAGAATGTGTACTCTCCAAAATGGCCAAGTTGTTTCTCTCGCTAATGTTTGCGATTGTCACGATTTGCTTGCTGCATATATCCGTGAGTATTGTTAAACCGTTTCTTCTCTTCATCACTAATATTATTTGAAAACATCATTTACTTGTGCGTGTGTCTGTGTGTGTGTGTGTGTGTAATATAATTCTTAGACTTTGCCCATGCTGTTGTTGTTACATGTTAGGTCATGGTATCTGAGGAGAAGTCGAATAAAAATGTTAGGATTTACTTAAAAGATAGATGTTTTTTTTTTTCCTTGTGTTCATATTTATCAATCATGGATGTGGTTTATACGGCTTTTGAATTGCAGGCTCGTCATCATCACAAATCTCCTCCTCCTCCTCCTCCTCCTCCTCCTTCTCCTCCTCCTCCTCCTAAAAGTCCTCCGGGTGATTTTTGTGGTAAGTATAATATATAATGCTTCTATTACTATTCTGTGAATGAATATTTTTAGCTAGCTGTCCTCAAAGTTGTTATATCTTATTTCTTTATCTATTAACATTATTAGATTATGTAATATTTTCATGTAACATGGGTTTATAGTTAATAGAGAACCTACAATGTGATTAAGTTGTATTTTTTAGTTTTAAGTTATAAATCGAGTTTGTTATGAATGAAAGTGAACCAAAGGAAGGCCAAATTGACATGCATTTTTTCTTCACGGTGATGTTAAAATGGTCAGATATGTGCAACAAATGCTGGGTGGGATTTGCTAAATGCTTCGGGATATGCGCAGGGTATCACGATCCAAATGTATTCCCGATGCACGTCCTGTTTTCGGTAATGCAAAATCTCCATTAACACATTGTAAAAAGCTTTCGATCTTTAGTTATGATGACCATACAATCTCAATATCACATGTTTAACGTGCATTGAACAGTAGAAGATGTTTAGTGTCTGTTGAATAATTCTTTAAAATCCAACGTAACTTGATCCGCTGTGAGTGTATGATATTTTTCTCACACTTTTCTCATGTTGTTGTTGCATATTAGGCCATGGCGTCTGAGGAGAAGTCGAGTATAAAGGTTGAAAATTTTTACGTAAAAGATAGAAACGAACCTTTTGTTTTTTCCATGTTTGTATATATATATATATATATATAGTAATCATTAATATGATTTTCTGAATTGCAGGCTCAACCTATTGAACGCCCTCTCGGTGAAAGTCTTGATGACTATCGTTGTAGTAAGTGCATCTGCCAGTACAATACGAAAAAATGAATATTCCTTACCTTGCTATCTTCAAATTTATTGAATTTCACTATTTATTTGTTGATATAGTTCGAAACTATAGTATTTGTATTTTACTAGGAGTCATAGTTAATAGACCTTGAAATAGGATTATTCGAAATGATATAATTAAAGTGAGAAAGTGAACCAAAACAAGAGTGGAAGTTCCTATGTTAGGTCGGTCTAACCATTAGGCAACGCACTTTTCCGCAAATATGGGTAAAACTGATGTATATTTTTTCTTTTTTTAATCTTGATTTTTGAAAAAAAAAAAAAAATGACTAGAATCTTGCAAAGAGTGTGGGGATGCATTTTCCAAATGCCAAGGCAACTGCACAGATTCTAGCGGACGACCGATTACATGCTCTCCAACTCCCAACCGTCGTTTCTAGAACAAAATTCTCCACGAGCATTATGCGAAAATTTTCGATCCATGAGCGTTTGCTTTTTGTTGTTTGGGAATACTAACTCGGAATGCTCAAACTCGACTAGTTCGGATCGATTATTGCATTGTACTCAATGAAAAATGTTCACTAATACTTTAATTGAGTAAAAATAAAAAATAAATTCTGATAGTGTAAATTTGCTTTTATCATTTCGTTACACATTGTATTTTCTACTTGTTACTCTGAAGTAATTAAATCAATATAAATATAAATTGGAACATCTGTATAAGTTTAGTTTTGATTCATCTATTATTGATACATAAAAAGATTCGACCCTACTTTCGTGGCAGTGTCTCTACGGAGTTTCAGCCGTCAGATCAATCATATGCATTGGTTAGCGAAATCTCAAATTCTTGGGTAAAATGACCTAATCGTTAGGTGAGTTGACCTGTCATATTATGTAAAAAAAACGTATAACTAAACTGTCAAATATCGTACTTATGTTTATATCTTTTCCAGAATGACATTTTTTCATGAAAGTGTGTATATTTATGAAAATAGAGTGTGATTCAATGGTATTTATGTTTATATATTTTCAAGAATGACATTCTTTCATGAAAGTTTGTATATTTATGAGATAGAGTGTGATCTAATGGTTAAGCTAGCCTAAGAGAAGTCACAAAAGGCCATGAAAGGTAAAACTGATGTACATTTTTTTTTTAATCTTGATTTTTGAAAAGAAAAAAATGATTAGAATTTTGCGACGAATGTGGATATGCACTTTCCAAATGTCAAGGCAACTGCACGGATTCTAACAGACAACCGATTACATGTTCTCCAACTCCCAACAGTTGTCAATAGAACAAAATTCTCCACGAGCATTATGCGAAAACTTTCGATCCTTAGTTATGGCAAACTATGTGTGTAATCTCTTAATAACTGAAGATTCTTTGCCTTCTTTGCTTTTGTTGTTTGGGTTAATGTTGCCATTGGTATTGTACTCTATCATCTTGGTGTAACAATTATTAACTAATAAGGTAATGTATTACTACATGTACAAGCAATGTAATTGAATGAAAAATGATTTTGTATCATGGAAATGGATTAATCATAAATTTACTTTGCCCCTACAAATTGTAATTTCATCATCGTAGGAGTTGAACAATGCATTTGTTTAGCTTTTCNCTTCATTCTATTCATTTACCAACTTAATTTTGATGCTCGTGGTTATAACCCACTAGTAGTAGTGCTGGTGTTGTTAAATTAAATGAGTATGAGTTTAGCTTGACTTGTTAAGGCTCGAGTACGGCTTGAACTCGATGCCTTAACGAGCCAATCTAATGCTCCAAAAGAGAATTTTTATATAATTTTCTATATTTCGGTTCGTTAAAACTCAAGATTGGCTCGTTAAGCCTCGAACTTGAGTCGTTAATAGTGATAAACGAGCCTAGCTCGAGCTCGATTTCTGACTTGTTTATTTAATGAGCCGAGCTTGGTCCGGCTCTTAAGAGCTCAGGCTCGAGCTCGAGCTCGGCTCGGCCCGTTTACATGCCTACCCACTAGTACTCAATTTTGTGCAAATGTACAAATACAAACCAAAAATATTATTATGTCATAATGTATGAATATTGTATTTAAAATCTCTAGTTATATAATGACATATCACAGTTTATAAACTTGATCATTAGTAAAAATGAACAATATAATTATGAATGATTTTAGCTATATATGTATCATTGCTTAAATTGAACAAAATGTCATGAATAATATAATTTTATAAATTTAAGTATAAGTTAATTAGTTAAAAAATTATTATTATTGCGACAATTGTTTACGCACTTTTTAGTGGTTTGTATGCTATAAAAAATGTTTAGCTTTTTAAAAATATTGCTTATATATTGATATTTTTTTTAAAAAAATAACGCTAGTTATAAAGTAAATAGCCTTAGACAAAAAAATTGCTTTACTTTTTTTTTTTATAATTGTATAGGTTCCATAAACATTTTAATATAAATTTATAATTATTTAATATTAGTATTAATTATTATTGTACTTAATTAATGAGAATTGTAATGTTGGGTGTATATATAGGGTTGGTAACGAACTAAATGTTCGCGAGCAAAAGTTCGTTCGTATTAAACAAATATACGTTGGTTTGTTCATCGAGCCGAGTTTGAACAAAAAAATAGCCTCATTCAATTGTCACACGAGCCCATTCGCAAATATTAATTTAATATAATTTTATTTTGCCTTTTACGTTTATATGTTTTGTATTTTTAAGGATTTAAGGAACAAGTTCGAACATGATTTTTCACTTGAAAGATAAACAAAAGAATACGCAAAGTATTCGAACATATTTGAATTCTAGATTGAAAACTCGAAATGCCCTAACTTGACTCGTTCGGTTCGATTATTGCATCGTACTCAATGGAAAATGTGCAATAATACTTTAATTGAGTAAAAAAATATTTTTCTAAAAGCGTAAAATTTACTTTTATTATTTCGTTACACATTTATTTTGTACTCGTTACTCAAACAATTAAATCAATATAAATATATATTAGAACATCTGTATAAGTTTGGGTTTGATTCATCTATTGTTGATACAAAAAGATTCGACCTTACTCTCGTGGGCACGCTCTCTACAGAGTTTTAGCCGTCAGATCATATGCATTCGTACGGCTAGGCGAAATTCGCCTTGATATACACATATTCACTAAAAACATTGTCCAACAAAATTCACTCACATATTTTCTACTACTAATCATTTACAATCATTATTTTACTACTTTTATATATCATAAACTTTAATCATACATTTCAACTCATACCCATTTACAAACTGAAAATCAAATCCAGTTTTCTATCTATTTGTTTCAATCTTAATTCAGTTTATCCGATAAATCAAATTAAATTAAAAAAAAAAACAAAAACTCATTTTCGAGTGAGTTTAATTTTGGTAAAGAAATACTGAAAATGAAAATAAAGATCTTTCCTCTCCTCGTACTCACCTGTTATCCATGGCCCAGCTTTTGGCCCAACATGCTAAAGCCCGAAAACGACTCATTCTCTCTCCTATTTCACTAGTTCCTGATTTTATCCAAACCCTAATTCCCCTCTGCAACGGCACCAATGGTCCCCAACGACTCCCTCCCGCCGTCACCCACCGGCGGTGGCCCTGACGTCTCTCCGAACAATTCCGACCCCGCCGCGCGGAACCCTAGCCGCTCGCCACCGGCGGCCGGAGGACCACCACTGAACTCCACGCAATCGCCAGCCATCTCCGGCGGCCACCGTCTCCCACCAACGCCTCCGATTTCCATGGATACCCGAACACCGAAACCTTCTCCCTCCACGGCACGAACCCTGACTGCAGCTAAGCGAAGGTAAAGGGGATCGATCAGTTAGTCACTTGAAGAAACACACACACGCGCACACTGTTACTGTTTCAACTTTCTCGTCGGACAGTTAGTTTCTTCTCTTTACATGTCCATTTTGTAGTATAGTTAACTTTCTTCCCTTTATTTGTCCAGTTGAAGTGAAATCAGCGTTAAATATCTTCCCGTTATTCGTGCATTTGTTGTGAAATCCGCAGGAGGATGCGGTGGACTATTCTGGCTGCACTAACTTACATAGCGTATATCTGTACTCTACTCGCACGAGATGGCCATGTATCTATGTCAGCTACTCTGTTAACCCTCTTTTCGTTGGCGTATTTCGTAATCCTGTTCCTGTTGCTATGTTCCAGCCCTGTCCCGTTAATCGAGTTGGGAGAATTTGTCGGGATCCTTGCCGCCATTCTCAATGCAAACACAGCCAAGCTCGGCTGGGACATTGTCTTAATAAACCTGCTTTTTGTGAATATGATGGCCATGTTCAATGCGGCCGTGATATTTGTCAAAGATTTCGACTTGGCAAACATCGGCCTCTCAGTTTTTGCGAGCGTGCTGTTGTTTGCTGCCAAAATGCACGATAAGTCGTGGGTGCCCTTCATTGCTGTATCCGTGACGTTTTACATGCACTGGACATGCTCGGTCGAGCTTGCGCAAGATTTCATGGCCAATATAAAGGTCCCCGAGTTTCCAGAGGCCCTGTTGGCTTCTTTTGGGGTGGCTGCTGGTGTCCGGGGCATGACTCGGGTACATATATGTTAACTTTTTATATCAGTGTGTTTTTGGGTTTAGGATATATATATGTGGATTTGATTGTCTTGACAAAAGTTGGGGATTTGATGTTTTTTGTGTGAAGTTTTGATGTTATCAAGTTTGTTTTGGGTTTTAGGGTATATATGTGGGATTTGATGTTCTTGACAAAATCGTTAACAGGGGAATTTGATGTTTTTTATGTGAACTTCTGGTGTTATCAGTTTGTTTTGGGTTTAAGGGTATATATGTGGGATTTGATGTCCTGACAAAATCGTAAGCAGTGGATTTGATGTTTTTGATGTGAACTTTTGGTGTTATCAGTGTGTTTTGGGTTTAAGGTTATATACGTGGGATTTGATGTTCTAGACAGAATCGATAACCAAGGAATTTGATGTTTTTGATGTGAACTTTTGATGTTATCATTGTGTTTTTGGGGTTTATAGGATATATATGTGGATTTTGATATTCTTGACAAAACTGATAAGCAGGGTTTGCACGAGCCGTTGCTGAGGCCCCAACAAGAGAGTTCGGGAGGTCGGGCCCCACACGAGGCGCCTGGCGGCACACGTGTTTGTTAATCTGTTGGGGGTCGGGACGAGAGTTTCGGGTTTAGGGATTGTTATGTGGTTGTGTATGTAGTTGGGTAGGAAGTAAGAAAAACTTGACTGGTGAATGGTGATCTTTGCTTTTGTTATTTTTCAAACTTATTATGTAGTATGTAAATTTACTAGTCCTGACTTGGTATTCTATAAAGGACATATTTGGCCTGCTGTGAAGAAGTGTTTGAAGAAATTGTGGTAGCTAGTTTTTTTTTTAAACAATGTTCATTTGGGTGTGTTGGTGAATGTCTAATTTAATAATAAATAATGATGCCACGTCACTTTAATCCAGGGTGCAGATAAAAAAATAACTAAAATTGATGAAATCGACAAATTATTGGATCTAAATTGAAAGTGGTCAATGTCGGGGTAGTTTTTTGAACAGTGGCCAAATTATAGGACTAATTTTGAAATTTTGCCGTCTTCGTGTAATAAGATCATGTATAATGTATTAACATACATATACATGCTAGATGGAATAAAAATGGATTTTTTATCCTTGAAAAAAGTTACAAATTAACTTCTGTTGGCCTATTTGAAGTATATAGAAAAAATTAAGAAAAAAAAATTTGACAACTGCAGAATATGCTACTGGTTAAGTGACATCATGAAAACTGGTTAATTTGTGAGGCTGTTGCTTTTTGGAGCTGAAAAAATGATGAATATTTAATTAAATTTTAATTAAAATGTTGTGATGATGACTAAATTGGAGGTGAAAGCTGATAAAATGATGAATACTGTTTTAAATTTTAATTTCATGCCCAATATAAAGGTCCCCGACTTTCCAGAGGCCCTGTTGACTGCTCTCGGTGTGGCTGGTGGTGTCCGGGGCACGACTCGGGTACATATATGTGAACTTTCATATTTAAATACATATATTTGTTTAATTATTTATTTTGCTTTTCTGATTTATTTGTGCATATTTTTATATTGAGTATTTGAGTTTTATATTTGGTAGTATATTATTGTTATTTGATTTTATTTTGGTTTTCTTTTCTTAATAGGATTCTTGCTTGGAAAATAAGGATAGACGGATGTGCTGCACGTTTTGTTTCCTTGGGAGTCTTTGGAATATACTTTAGTACACAATCTTTGACTTTAAAATTGGAGATTCGCTGGTGCGCATTTTTGGAGAGAAGGCAAAACCATTTTTTGCTGGGCAAGCTTTCTTGAAGACAAAAAAGGACAGCAGCATTTTTGATTGGTATTCTGTAGAGGACATGTTTTGCTGCAGTGAAAGAAGTGTTGGAAGAAAATGTGGTAGCTAGTATTTTGAAATTCGATGTTCATTTGGGGGTGTTGGTGAATGTGTAATTTAATAATAAATAATGATCCATTTGATTTTTATTTTAAAATATATTATCCTTATTGTTTTGCATTAGATTAGCCTAGGGTAGGTGTAGATTAAGTAAGTTGCAATTAGGACAACAAATGAGTCGAGTCAAGCATGGACCTCATCAAACGCAGATTGAACTTTTTTTTTTTTATTTTTCTTAATTGCTATATTGCTCGTTACAGGTCGATTTTATAGTGTTTAATTTATTTTTGTTCAATTACATTGTTCTGTAACCGTGAATATGGAGCCACTAATGGTTTGAAATTCGGACCAAGATTCAGTTTTTATGTGTTCATAACACAATAATCGAGTAGTGTTGAACTGGGGTCTGTTCGATTCGTATGCTGAATGCAAGGAAAAAAAGGGTGGACTTTCTGTTTAGGTGATTTTTTAACTGAATCAGATTTTTTAGTTAATTTATTTACTTGATTAGGTTTATTTAAGTGATTATGACCAGTTAAAGATTTCTTGTTACTTTGAGGATTTTGAATGTTTAACTGAAGGATGAAGCTGATATGTATGCTGATTATTTTGTTATATCAGTCGAGGTGTTTGTGGATAAATTATCGCTTTCAGGTGTAAGCGGGTTATTTGTTAGAGATAATTTATGAATTTGATCTTTAATGTGTGATGTATGTGAACCGTTTAGATGGATTATGAATACGATTGTTTTGAACAGGTGATTAGTTTTATAAATTTATTTTATGTTTTGGTATTTGGTTTGCATGTAATCTCTTTGCTTATTTCTCATCTGAAGCATCAGATTGGTTTTTCCCAGTTTGAGCATCCTGTTGCGTTAACAGTCGAAGCTCAGGTAATTTTAACTCATTTTTCTTCCCCATTTTAAGTAATTTATTTTTTGCGGAGTTCAAATTGATCTCATGTTATTGCATCAGGCAAAGCATGTTGGGCAATTGAAAGGTGGATTGAGCAAAAATTTATTCTTGAAGCTGAATTTGCCAACACCTCAAAGAAAGCTTATTGAATTCTGTATTTTGCTTGTTGGGAAGTTTCGTATATTTGTTTTCATGATCTTTTTTTGTGTTTTTCAATTTTTTTTTCGTTAAATTGTCATTTGAAGCTATCTTTTTTCCGTTTCGTTATTGCTAGATCAAGGATTTAAGACTCCGGAATTTTGCTTCTTCCATCCATTGTCTAATGACATGACAGTCGGTGAGTAGTTAAGGCTTTATCGATTTATAACACTTGAAAAAAAAATAAAAAATGAGCAAAGTGCGAATAGTAGATGGATTTTCCAGATTGGCTTCACCTCACATGATATGTTTAGTGGTTTAATTACAAGATGAAAAAGAGCCTAATTACTTACAAAATTCCGAAATACTCCTCAAGGTTTGTAGTTTCCCTGAAAAGCTCTGTCTTCATATCATGGTTTTAGTTGGTGGCGTTATCTTTAATTTTGATTAGAATTTTTTGTGGTCGCTATATTAAATTTAAGTTATGTTTGGTAAACCTAACCGATAAACTATAAGTTGATATGCTAGCTCATAGCTTTTAAGTGATTTTCGAGTTTATAGCTGATAACTTAAGACTTATGGATGAAAACTAGCATATATATGATAAAAGTGTTTAGTAAAATTATCTGATAAGCTAGCTGAATAAGAATTACAATGGGCTTATTAAAAAAGCTACCCAGAGAAGCTTATGAGATAAGTTCGAGTCTTTTAAAAAAGTTTGTCCTACTAAATCAAGATTATTTGAATACAGAAAACTTATAAGCTAATCAAATAAGCTATAAACTAACTTATATGCTTACCACCAGTAGTTTTTTGTAGTTAATCTTATCTGTTATGTAATAATATTTGGTGACTAAAGCTTGTGGCACATATTTTCATGAAAAATGCTACAAGTACATAATAAATGTACATAAAGGTGTACACTGTTGTAATAATTAATTATATTTTTCTTGAAAAATGCTACAAGTACATAATAAATGTACACAAAAGGTGTACACTGTTGTAAAAATTAATTATATCCGGCGGATTAAGAACGAGTTTCAACACATATACATATTAAGAATTTGTAAATAGAAACCACAAACATCAACCACGAGAACGTGAGATGAAACCAGATTTCTATTAGTAAATAAATAATTTTATTATAAAAATAAAAACTTAACTGACAATTCTATATTGTCATAGAACACGAATAGCCGAATCACAGAAAATCTGTTTGCCTTGAAAAAACAGACGCCCCGATACTGTGCAACGAGTACTACGCCTTTTCTCTCAGGATAAGACGGCTCAAAGTGTGAAGACTGCATTATCTAACATACTCACCTCGATCAAAATCTCAGTCGCCAAGAACCCTTAATTTTTCTTAGACTCGTAGAGGATGAAAGAGAATATGTATATATAAAGTGATCCTTTTCTTTTCTTTTCTTTTCTTGGTGTGTCATTCATATGTCTTGCATGCACACTATTTATAGTGTTTCTAAGCCAAACATGCATTCAATGAAGAGGAGATGTCTTAATGCCTTCATTAAGACAAAAGTAATGAAACTTTGAGTTTCATTCCACATCTCAAAACTGAACACGGTTAAGATTTTCTCACATTGAATTTGGACATTACATTTGTAACATTAAACACATTTTCTTATCTAAGGATTCCCACATAACACAATTCTCTTTTCACATGTAATATTAATTGTTCGCAAAATATTTTCACTACCCGCAAGTGTACGGTATAGCTATAGTGAGTGGCGAGCAAAGTCGTATTCCACAGAGATTGTTGTCAAAATTAACTAAGTATCAAAATGTAAACGATTAAATATTATTTAGTCTAATGCAAATTTGAATGGTGATTTTATTCTAAACTAATGAATGATTGCAAAATAAATTCTAACACTAATGAAGGCTTGTTCTAAAATATATCAAGAATGAGAAAATACATTCTAGGCTATGCTTTCCTCGGGATTATTCTAACAAAGGTTTCCTATTCATTCAAACCTTATTTAATTCTACCATTCGTAGGGATAATCACTAAAGTAATTTACACCTTTCTCTCGAACAAGTTAAATCGTAGATATCAATTGTTATCTATCTCCTCTCGGTCTCAAGATGAACAATCAACTCCCATAAGCTCCTAAGATTCTAGTTTCCTCGCAAGATTATATCAACCTCTCAGTCTGTTTAGTCTCTTACGTTATGAATTTCCCAATTCTAGCAATCAACTATCTCCTCTCGGTCTCAAGTCAATCACAAATATGCATAAATACGGGCCCTTATATTCACACAATTAATAAAAGCACAAGAAATTGATAAACGAATGATAAACCGGAATGAATAAACAAAATCACTTCATAAAATAATCCGAGTACTCGCAAATCCTAGAATCCCTAAAGGGTTTAGCTACTAAACATATTCTCAAAACTCAAAATAAATATATTCATGAGTTCAATGAAGAAGAAAGAGAGAAAAGAAAGAACTATTGTCGCCGTTAGTTCCCGAATCTTCAATCTTGACTTCCTCGAATCCCTCGTGTGTTTCGTGCTTTCTTTAGGCCTCCAATGGTGTCAAAAGTCCCAAAAACGAGTTCCTAAGGCCTCTTTTATACTGTAGGGCACTTCTGCGTCGAAAAAGGGAAGAAATCGCACAAGAATCCTATTCCCCGCAGGTCTGGTCTGCGCGTCACACGAGTCGTGTCACATGCCACACGAGTCGTGTGACTTTTCTCAACATTTCGGCGAACTTCCAGACTCACACGACTGGTCACACGACCGGGTCACACGAGTCGTGTGAGGCCACACGCCCGTGTCTCAACCCACACGACTCGTGTGAAAAAGCCGTAGCTGTGTCTCTAATTTTCTCAACCCACACGACCCGTGTCATTATCCACACGAGTCGTGTGGCCTTTTCTGCACCCGTTTTCGCCGTTTTTCGTCCCGATTCCATTTTCAACGCATTTCCGGGCATATTTCCTGCAAAAACAATGACAAAAACACCTCTATCATAGTTTAATAAATAAAACGAAATGGTGCACAATCACACGATAACCAGGGCCAAATATCACAATATATCACTCATAATGCATGAAAATATGATGAATATCAACTCCCCCAAACTGAAACCCTTGTTCGTCCCCGAACAAGAATAAGAAAATCAGAACTCAAGCATAATGAGTGATATCAAACTAGAACAGCTTCAAGTTATTCAATGCAACCAAGAAAAATTCAAAAGATCATAATTATCATGCTTTGACTATTAACTTGTATCTACCTTGAATCAACGAACTCTCAAATAGGAACATATAAGTGCCTCACTCACATGTCATCAATATATAAAAGAGAAGGACACGCTCAAGTCACATTGAACACCCAGTTAACTATATGTTTGCCAATCATCTAAAACTTTACTTCAAACACAACCAATAATCATGAGCTTTAAATCGAAAGGTCTTTCCAGGTTGTAATGTAGGCTATTTGGTCAAGGGTAAGATATATATATATATGGGTTAAGTGGCTCAAATAAACAATCACACCATTCGAGTAAATAGACTACTCGACATACTCCACTACTTCTCTCTAATCAGCACAAACCGTTTCTCATTCCCTAACCAAAATAATCCATACACGACTCATAAATGCTCAAATCAAATTGCAAAGGAAGTACTTGACCATTTTTTTCTTTCTTTTTTTTTTAATTTTTTTAGAGAGTTCCATTTTATTCCAAACAAAATCAAACTGCAAGAACAATATTCTCTAGGTCTAAACATTGGAGGTCATCCAAGTGTCCTAGAGTGGTTTCCCATTACTTATTACCCGTCAAAATAAATCAACTAGTAAGAGGAGTAGAATTCCAACAATTCGACTTGCGAGCTCTCTTTATTATCATTTTTTTTTTCGGTCAAACACAGTAAATGCAACTCAATCACACCTCATTCCATACCCAATCATCTCATAAATAACTCCGTTATCCCCATACATCCCAAATATCAGTCAACTCTCAAAATAAATAAGATAAACCGGTTGACAAGAAAAAGGCTTAAGGCTCAAACGGGCTACTAGTAAAAAATATTTTTAAGGACAAAGAACAAAGCCGAACGAGCTAAATTCAAGAACTGTCTAAATCATTTTTAAAGCTCAAAATCATCAATGCATTTTTTCAAGTGTAGAATCAAGGCAAATTCTAATAACTCGGGTATTCAATTGACACTCACAGACAAAGAATAAAGGCTCGAATCTCTCTAGGCTCAATATATCGCTAATTCAAGGCTCACAAGCATTTTCATCTAGGCATGACTTTTACAATCCCATCACAATTTCTTAGTCACATCAAATTACCATTCACCATTCAAGTTATACATACCATCATCAAATCGAAAGCCCAAAATACACAAGAACCCGACTCAAGCAAATTCTTATTATATCCTACTAAAGCAAGTAAACGTGCATCCTAAAAAATAAAATAGCATAAAAAAAATCATAAAAAGAAATAAAACTAATGCAAGCAAATATATGATATGCAATAAAGCGATAAAAACTCAAGATATACGACACTTTTCTCCCCCAAACTTATTCTTTGGAAAAGAATTAAGTTTACGAAAAAGAAATGGCGTACACCTTAAGTAACTAACCGTCACGTCGAGCGAACTCCACCGTAAGCAATCCTTTCACCCTTGAGCACAATCATCTCCTCCATGCTTCGTTCGAACACTCGATCACCACCATTTTTTTTTTTCACTTTTTTTTTTCTTCTTTTTTTTTTTATTTTTCCATTTTTTTTTAAAAAAATAAATAAATAATAATAATAATAATAAAATATAAAATAAATAAAGAAAATAAAATAAAATAAAATAAAATAAAAAATAAAATAAAAATAAAAACAAAAACGGTGGGTTGCCTCCCAACAAACGCTTAATTTAACGTCTTTAGCTAGACGTCTTCCGAGCTCTTAAAACGGGCCGTTTCCATTCATCTCGACCAACTCCTTCTTCATATTCCGAGCCCGACGCTCCTCATCTTTCACTTTCTTTCTCTTTGGCCCTCGATCAATGACAAACGTATAACGCTCATCAAACGCCCGGAAAGTGAGCTCTTCGCTCAATGTCTATCAATACTCGTCCGGTAGCAAGAAACGGTCGCACCAAAATTAGCGGAACATCATCATCTTCAAGCATGTCGAGCACAATAAAATCCGCCGGATATATGAAATCACCGACTTTAACCATGATATCCTCTAAAATACCTCTCGGATGGGCTAATGATCTATCCGCCATTTGGAGTGCAGTAGTCGTGGGCCTAAATTTCTCCATTCCCAACTTCAACTT